AGTGGGGGTCAGGGTATGCCAGGGCATGTCTAAGCATGTCTAAAGCAGCAGCCAAGCATTTTACAGAAGCTAAAAGAGCAATTAGTGGGGGTCTGGAGAGATTGGGGGTAGTGGGTGAATGAAGAGGGTCTCAGGGTCCTACACCATTAGATATTATAGTTTAAAGAGTTGATTTCAAAGACAAACAACATTTCTGTTTAGCTTATGTGTCCCAGGTTGCTAGGACACATTTTCTTCTTTCCTGCTAATGAGTTGTATTTCTACAAGGTCTCCCTATAGCCTCAGCTGGCCTGCAACTCACTCTGTAGACCATGCTGGCCTTGATCTCACAGAGATCTTCCTGCTTCTGCCTACTAAGTGCTGGGATTAAAGAAATGTACCATCATGCCCCACTTATTTTTTATTTTTTAACTCCTGGGGAAAAATAGTAAATTGTAGACTAAAATCTGACAGCATGGATGAAACTGAGTCAAAGCAGCCAGACTTAGAAGAGCATCTGCTACATGTTCCATTCAGATGAGTTCAGGAACTGGCAGAGTGATCTCTGGTGACTGAGTTCCCAGTGACTGTTCTCTGATGGGCATTGCTGCAGAGGGGGCAGAAGGAAGTTGTTTAGGAGGTGGAAAATATTGTATGACTTGGATCTGCATGGTAGAGATATATAGTTACATACATATAGATAAAAATTTCCCAAGTGTCCTGAGTGGGGCAGTTACTTGAACTGTCCTGAGTGTGACATCCAGAGTGTGTCACTGCTTCTTGGGAGAGCTTAGGACAGGCGCATATGGAACAGAAGAGATTCTCCACATGACTGATTGGTTGCAATATGTATTTATCACACAGTTAAGCATAACAATACACATCAACACAAACACTCAAAGGGAAACCCGGTTCTCTACAATTCAGAGTCCCAAAGTCTCAAGGGAATACCTTCCAGAGGTTAGTCCTTCCAGTACTCCGTGTGGAGTCACTCAGCGTCCACCGTGATCACTGCAGTCTCCCTGCTGGAGCTGTCAATTCGCAGGCTCTGATCACGTCTGGTGGTGGCCAGCTCTCTCCAATCCAACAGAATTTCGGCCTGGCCTTGGGCAGAATTTCGGTCTCTCGGGCGATGCATCAGGGATGAGGCCCACAGAGTCAGCGTTTCGTGTAGCCAAGCATCTATGAAGTCCTCGAGCTGTCAGTTTTTGTATGTTCCTTTTTGGCTGGAGTCCTTCTGACTTACGTCAGTAACTTCAGCTGTTTCTTGAGATATGGCTTCTCCCATAGGATTACTTATCTATCACAAGCTACTTAGTTTCAACTACTTAGTTTCCACTCTCAAGCTACTTAGTTTCAAGCTACTTAGTTTCAAGTTCAAGCTACTTAGTTTCGACTCTCAGGTTTACCCATCTGCTCCACACAGTTTCACATAGTTTCTGTGTGAAGTGATAAGTGAGCCTGGGAAGCCGAGAAGTTCCTAGTTTCTAGTTTCATTTCAAAGTCACTCTTAATATCCATCTTAATTTATTCCTAATTTCCTAATACATTCAGTATAGTGTATTAATACACCTAGTCATAAAATGACCTCCACCTTTTGGAAGCACCTCTACTTCCTGGTTCCTTTTCCAAACTATCCAATTGCAGCCTAAATTCTCTAAGTATTTCTAAGCACCCTCTTACTGAGACACTCTAGTTCCACATAGTGTGCCTTTTCCCTTGAGCAAGTAATACTAAATCTATTTATTTAACTACCAGTACAACTTCTTTAGTAGGGCTTTGGTTTTCAGTTATTGTTGTTTGTTTTTGTTGTTTTGTGTATTTTTAGTTTACACAGTCTCCCTATATAGCTCAGGCAGACCTTGGACTCACAACCCTCCTGCCTCAGTTGCCAGAGGGCTGGGATTACACATGGTATACTACTCCTTCTGGCTCAGGTAAACCTTTTTTGTTTTTATGAAACACGGTCTCATGCAGTCAGGGAAGCCTCCAACTTACTATGTGGCCAAAGATGGCCTCAAACTTCTGATCCTCCTGCCTCTACTTCCAAAGTGCTAACATTTCAGTCTTA